GAGAAAGAGAGAGCGAGAGAGAGAGAGAGAGAGAGAGAGCATCGCTAAACAGCTGCGAGTGAACTTCGTTTCATTTAACCGTACCATGCGAAATTGCCACGGCCCTCCTAGAATTGGCTCGGGGAGACGTGGGCCCCGGGGTGGCTCGCTTCTTGGGTCCTGAAACTTGGGGAAAGCGGCCGGCGCGCTGTCGGCGACCGGTTAATAGCGGTGTTCCTGAACAGCGAAGCTCCAGAGACAGTGCAGTATGCGAAGCTTCAGAGACACTGCCCTGGACGCCTTGAACGCAACCGCTCCTGACCGACGTCGTCGGCTCCATGTTCCAGTCGCCCAGACAGATCCAGGGGGGCTGCGACGAGTTCAGGGGCCCGCCCAGCGTCTGAAACCGACTGTTGTTCTTGCTCGCTATGCCGAGCGAGACGAAGCCGTATACTATTATGAAGGCGATGGAATATCCCTGCAGTTGCACCACCGTGGCGTTTAAGCCGTCCCAGGCCTCGTGCGCCCCCACTCTGTAAAGCGGAGGTGCGCCGGGCCTCGCCAAAACTCTCCACGGTTAGGTGTCCTCGCAATGCTGCCCGCTCTCCTCCATCATTGGCTCTGTCAGCGTTTGCCTCCAAACGCTGCTGTCCAGATGGCCAAGCAGGGTTGGCGAACGGGCGTATACTGTTTTCCAGCACGGTGTTCCCACGCACGGATCCGACTCCTAGGAACATGAGCCTCTGCGCATCACAAATCCCCGTCCCGCTCGGACCCCTCGAGGAGATGCGACCACGCTCGATCACCCTGGTCGTGGGTCGTGAGGTTCGCATAGAAGATACTGAGAGTAGACTGCAGTAGGCTTTCGCCCGCTGGCTCGCGTGACAAAACTAGAGCCCTATCTGGCTCGGTCCGTTCAACTGGAACGGGTGGGGATCCGATGCCGAGGGCGATGACCGTCAAACAGCGCTGGCCGCCTTGGAACTGCTGCCCTTCCCTTGTCGTCGCCCTTGCTGTTGGAGCTGGGCTGCGCCTCCGCCTTTCTGCTGTCGTCGCTGCTGGGCCCGTTGCCCCGCTCCGCCGTGGCGCCCTCCGCTCCAGGCGACGCTGCTGGCGGTGGGGAGGCAGCTGGCTTGGTAGCTGGATCGCCGCCAGTGTTCTCGGCGCCCTCCACTTGGGCCCTTTAGTCTTGCGCTTCTTGGCAACGCACCTCCAGGCGATCTCCTCTTGACCTTGTTGGCTTTCTCCAGCCGCGACTTCATCTCGCCGTTCTTGGATGGGAAGTGTTCCTTGATGTTGATGAGGTCCGCTTGAGTGCTTCTGAACTCGGTTTCCCCCCTCACTTCGCAATCCAGGCTGTCGATGCCCGCGAAGATGGACGCATCCCAAAACCACTGCGAATACATCATCGCCCCCTGCTGCCGGCCGGTTCGCGTTGGCGGGCTGTGGTGACAAGCCCTCTCCCCTCGCAAGGGCCTATCCTGCTTGACGTTTGGCGATCTCAGCTGCCGCCAACGTCTCAGTAAACGATTTTTCTTTGGGAGT